TTTTTTAAATATATAATTAAGGTTTATTTTGAGGATCATGATACTCAAAGACTGTTGAAGGTGAATCCACACAAGACACTGAGGAATATTTTATCAGATTCAAGGTAAGCTAGAGTTATGCCATTAGAGACAGAACCTCCTAGGTGCATATCATCAGGATACACACTGTATTTCTAAACTAGTAAATTGATAAATTCTTCTATGTATATCTAATTAATCTAATTACAGAATGTTCTTCATACCTAACATCTAGGGCTATGTTCAACATGTTTTAAAAAAAAATGCAAATTTTAATCTTTTGATATATCATTTTTTTTTCACTTCTATTTTTTTTCTTAGGTTGCGGATTCTGCTTGGAACTCCAGCTTTTATAGTTTTGGTAGATGGATCAGAATATGAGAAGGTACTACTTCAAAAGCACAATAACAGTAAAACATGTGTAACATATGGATGAAGCAATTAAAGCTGTACAATACAAACTATTTATAGCTTATGAGAAAATAGAGAAACTTAAATCTTACATAATTGCTTGTGTTGTAAATACTTTGATCTTGACACATGAATCCAAGTAACTTTTTAAAGAATGGATGATTCAAAATTATATTTTCCAGAATTAGCCATTGTATCATAATCGAATAATGTTAAACATCAGTGGTGTAGTAAAATGGTTACAGTAGTAATAATCAACAAATTAAAATCTAGTTATTAAAATCATTCAAATTTGTTGTAACATCAGAACCTGGGTCCTGCCGTGTTCATAAAGGCCTCATTAGTCGCTTCGCTCTCTGGAAGCATTGCTCTAAGACCAAATATAGAAATACGAGTGGAGTTGAAAAGCTTAGTGGTTAAGATGCTTGCCTCCTAATACCAGGATCGTGGGTTCAGTGTCTGTCACAGCAGGACTTTCTCACGACTAAAAACTACTCCACTCCCTAGGCCTTAGTAAGAGACTTGGTTTATACAGCAATGTTGCATCTTGTAAGTTGTGAGTGTACTTGGATGTGAAGGAAATAAAAAGAAGATTACTTGGCGCTGATTTTTGTCACTGCACCCAGACCAGGGCCATTTTGCAGTTCCTTGACTCCAGCTTGGACTCACTTCACTTCAGTCTGCATTAGTGTCATCACTCAAGCGATGACACCATCAGTGTCAACACCATCATTATATTTGTCATCATAATCGTTTGTCACTGTCATTGTAAACCATCAACCATTGTCATCATTACTGACTCATAGCTGTTGGAAGCATTTTGCAAATGGTCTGGCCACTAAAGAGCAATTAAGGGTTTAATGATTTCTTAGGGTAAATAACCAATGTCACATGATTCGAAATCCACCAATCAAATACCAAGGATCTATCTAGGTGTGTTATAAAAATTGTTAATAGACATGCGATTTCGAATTCTATTCACTGTGTAAAAGGAATAGGGTATATTCATTAATGCATTTCCAGTGTAATGCAAGTAAATTATTTGGAGTTAGGCTGGACTCATAATTAACTGCACAAGAATAATATTTTTTGTATTAAACAATATTAAGTTATTGTGATGAATATCATTTATGACCAAAATAATATGGAACACAAAAAACAGGATTACAGTTCTTAAAACTAATATATAAAAATTGACATAGAGCATAAATATTTATATATACAAAATGTATCTATTAAAAATAATATAATGCGAACTGTAATATCAAACATTTTGTTTAAAAACAGTGGACAAATATCTCACGCTTGAAAATTAAAGTGTAAAAGCTAGAGAGCCTACCAGTAGGCCTATATCTTTTCTGTGAATAGGCCTATTAATGTTTCCTCTATTCATACCAGTACGAATATGATGCCCTTGAACCCATCTGTTCCATAGTCAGTGTGAAGTCTGGATCCGTGCCAGTGACTCCAATGGCGGACAGTTGCTGAATTAACATTATTAATTAAACGATATTATACAATTCTATCAGATATAACACGATGCGGTACAAAGTATTATTTATTAAATATTAAAACCAAATTAAGACTATGGCTGTTCTGCCTTTGTTTTGTTAACTTATCTACTACAGAGATGCACACTACCAACCACTAAAAAAGCTGCTCTGCTCATCGGACAGCTTGTTTCGTAATTTAATTACTGGTGTAAAGATGTACTTTCCAGAATGTAAATGCACTGTCGGTCTATGTTTCGATTACATTTTTATTAATAAAAACTATATACATAGAGATTCCTATATATTTGTATATAACGTTTTAATATTCCTATTTCTGTAACTAGTAGTTTTTCTACATTTCCTCGGACTTGCATTTCTGGTTTTATAAAGGACAAATTTGTTCTGGGATTGTTTTTTTTTTCCGACTCCTGATTGATATATGCTCTTGTGACTTGTGGCAGCTTTAAATTAACTCTTTTTTCCCCCTGTTTTCTGCAGTGTACATATAAGCAATATAGATTTCTTTTAACCAATGAGAACAAAGTAACCTCACGATGACATCAGACATACTCATGAATAATTAATCACTAGACTCCTTTGCTGCTACATTCATCTCACAGAAGGGCGAAACAAAAACTTTCACATGTTATGATATTATAGTATGGTTGGTTGTCGTTGAAATACATCATGGACAGCGACACAAAGTTGTTCTTATGGCTGATCGAAAACTCTTTGACATAAACACGTAGATAAATGGATTAATGCAGCTGTTCGCTATTCCTAGCATCTTAAGTGTCCTGTAGATAACATGCATATGGTATTTAGTTTTCATATCAATGGCGTCCATACGATCTATGAGTGTCCATACCATAAATGGTCCCCAAGTTATTACATACAGCAGAACGACAACGAAAAGCATCAGCATTGCCTGAAACAGATGCGACAAATCACGTATTAATGATAAAACGACGATGAAGATGCAGACTCTGAAGAAATTGACGATGACAACATAACATCAACTACGACAAATGATGGCGCAATCATATCGACATTCGAAAATTTAAAATGTCATTGTGAACAAAGCAGTAGTTAAAAGCCAACATCTGTACAATTTGTATTCAGAGATAGAAAGTTATTTATTTATTGAACAATATTTTAAGACGGTAGCCCAAAACAGCTATGCTGACTTGAAGGGGCCCTCACACGTAAAACAATATGAATGTGAGCAATACAATTAAATTTAACATGGAATAAATATATATATATATGTGGAAATATGAATAAACATTTTATGAAAAATCGTAGATCCATAAAAATAACTACAATAATAACAATAACAAAAACGAATGATAAAAAAAAAATAAAAGAGGCAAACATCATGAATGCAATATAAAAAATAAAATTTTAAATTTGAGAAATCTAAAACGTTTATATTTAAAAGGTAAAAATGTAATTCAAAACATTGAAATTAGTGCCTAGACTTTAGATAACGACTTTAGATAACGTGACGAATCATGTCTAAAATTGAGTGAATTTAAAAATGACGTAGCTCTAAAATGAAAACTATGTTTAAAATATTGCAACTTTGGTCGTGGAATAACAAATGTAGGACTACCCCAGCAGTTACTGCTCTTGTTGCCCGAGTGCCTTCTCACTGAATAATTGAAAATAATTACAAAGGTTGTCTGGAGCAACACTAATGGTAGCCTTGAAAGCCCAATTGGAGGAGGATGTGGTCTGAGACATTTTAAGAGGCATAGAGTATCAAGGATAGAAATAAGGAGAGATGAAGAAGTACAAGGATGAACATTGCGAATGATACGAAGAGCACGATTTTGCAGGGGTTGAGTTTTATCGATGATGTTATAGGTATTTATAGTTTCCTTCGCTTCTTCGAAGGAGAGGTGATTACCCTCGCCTCTCCAAAGGACAGGTGAAGAATAGTGAAATAAGTGAAATAGTGCGCGTCTATGTCTGTCTGTGTGTCCTCCCCGGCGCATAACTCAAAAAACTACTAGACAGATTTACTTCAAATTTCCACCACACACCTACACACACACACACACACACACACACACACACACACACACAACACAACACACACACACACCCACACTATGTTACATTTATCTCGGTTCTCCTCAAATTTGGTGCTGACTGAGATGAATGTCATTTATATATTTTCTGGCCGCAACAGACCTGGGGCGGATGCATAGTTGGGGGTGGAGGGGTGGAGGATGTGCAGACCGTGCGATCGCACCTCCCTAAATTGTATTAAGAAAAATAATGTATTTTTGATATGAATTACCGGTTAGATTTTTAAGGTATGAGTGCCAACCATGGTGGGGCTGAGGTGGTGTGGACTCTCACGCACTCCCTACCGCTAATCCTTCATCCGCCCCAGTAGACAGAGGCAACTCGAGCAGATCGTTTGACCGAGTCGTTCGGTTAAGCTGAGATGACTTGAACGTGTCCACTGTGTGTCAAAGTCTTGCCGGCCCACTGGCTACATAACTATGACACAACATGGAGGGGGGTTGTTATTTTATACAGTGCCATTACTTTCTTTTTCCGCATGACGTCTGGACTGTTTAGACTGGGTCAGTGCGTTTGTCCGAAGGTCCGTTGGTCCGAAGTAAATATAATTCAAATATAGACAAATTATATTTGAAGAAAACACAAATTCGGGACCACCATGTAGGCCTATTTTGGTTAAAAATATACAAATTATTGCTTGCTCGAGAGCCATGACTTGTCGGCTCAGTTTATGTATCTTTTTAGCAAACTATTCGAAATTTAAAAGATTCCAAGTGAATGGAACGTAAGTATAATTGAAATTGAAAGCAAATAAAAGAAGCACTAGAAATGATTCATATCATATATATATTGATTTTAATTCATAATGCTTTCAACTAAAGTTCTCCCTTTGAGCATCTGCCCTACTATGAACAATTGAAAGAGGAATTTTACTGATGCGAGTCAGCCAGATTTTTGTATATTTCATAAAGGAAAAAACATAAAAAATAAAAATTTGGTGAGGCAGAGAAAATGGATGTGCGAAGGGACGAAAAACTATAAATTTTTTTTTATTTGGCCTTAGCTATTACATTACTAAATATGAAACTTGCATTGATTCAGTTCCTACAGTTATTTTGGGTTCCATTTTGAATTATTGTTATTATTAATAAATTATTATCATTTGTAATTGTTTGCTCTGTCTCGTACTCCTGTATAGAGTGCCAAAAGTGATGAAGTACGAGATTGCCATGATAAGTACGGGGATGGTGAATTTGACCACGAAATCGAACATGGCATTCAAATGTATCCAAGGTTGTGCAAAACTCGGCCTGCATTGCGCCCGTCTGTAGTCGGTATAAATATGTTCCTGAATAATAGGAGAATGTGAGAATTAAATTACATTGTAGGCATATCGTGTAACGTTATTTATCTTATATCCACTTTTATAGTTTATGCAGTAGTTATGAAACACAAGGTCGTGAATAAGAATTGCTGTCATTAGCTAGTGATATGCATGCACAAGCAACGTACATACACATAACATACATATATATTTGTAGCCTTCTATCCCTTTCGGCGTTAATGCCACTGGAGGATCCAGAGGAAAACAATTTTTCATATGTTGCACAACTGATTTTTTACCACCCTTTCACCTTTTTCCCCAGACTTAGATATTCAAAAATCTGTATGTTTTTCCTCCGGACCATGGCTTTAATGCACAAATGCAGACAGGACAAAAGAACATAAAACGATAAACATAGAAAAGAGGGAGAAACTAAAAATGAAATCTCACTTTATAACTGTTACCACCACCACAGATATAATTATACCTCAATACTATCACTATTATTAATTAATACTATCACTATTACTATCAATTATTATTACCGTCACCTCTCCGAAAGAGAGGCGAAGGGTATTGCAATAGCGCGTGTCTGTCTGTCTGTGTTTGTCCTTCCGGGCGCATAACTCAAAAACTACCGTACTGGACCAATTTACTTCAAAGTTTCACACATTGACAATATTACGTGTATCTCTGTCCTCCTCGAATTTGGTGCTGATCGGTAAGAATGTAGATTTTAAAACGTTATTTATATATTTTTCGGTCGCATCTGACAGTGCCAACTCGATCGGATCGTTCGACCGAGCGTTTGCGTAGCTTTCATATTCTTTCATCCACAAGCAGCGATCAGGACCACTGCTTCGCGACATGAGGATGAGGAAGTCAGCATTCATCATATCAGTTCACAAAAATTACCCTAAAAAGCGCCCTCTATAGTTTCTGCCTTAAATGTATGGGGAAAAAATAATGGGGTCGGCATGACTTTAGCGGATCGACCGCGGACCGACTCGAGCGGATCGACAGTGTGTCACATTTTGGAAGACAAACTAAAATCGGTCTGGACGGCCACCTGAGGCCTATGATGATATGACTCGTTTGGTGGATAAAGTGGAGAAGTAAGATGCAGATTTTAGATGTTTTCCGGCCGTATATCTCACAATTATTTACTGTCCCAATTTCATCAAAAACAAAATAATTGTGAATAAAAATAAAATATGAAAAAAAGTAGTCAATAAATGCACAAATGATAAAAAGTTAATAATAATAATAACAACAACAAAACAATAATAATAATAATAATAATATAATAATAATAATAATAACTGGACTTTCTATGTCTGTTTGAACAACACAACATGGGGCTTCTCCTCATTGCTTTAATGAGAATGAAATTGAAATTGCAACAAAAAAAAGTCGTTAAATGGTATAAAGTAAAAAAATACTACACGGAAAACCAATAAAATATTAATGAAATGGAAAAAAATGAAGTGGGAAAAAAACACGAAAACCAAGTTCACTGCGACGTTATTGGTGAGACTTGAACTATGGCTGCAATGGTAATAGCGAGGCACATCGTGAATCATAACCATTGGGAGCCATATGAGCCGAACTTGCATAGGAAAGTACATTTTCAGTTCATAGCAATTCAATGACAGAAAGCAAAAATTGTTCATGCGTTGAGTTTAACCTAGCTGTAGCTGGTTTAAACGCTTCAGAAAACGCAAATTGCGTTTAAATAATTTAATCACCTGTCAAAAAAAAACCCCCTTTAAATGGTCCTCATATCCACACCCTATGCCGGATCATCACAAAAATTCAGTCATTTCTTTGCTGGACAGCTTTTACAAACTATTATAGAAAGTTTCATTTACACCGATTGAAAAACTTTTTGTAGATATTTACGTCTGGGATTTAAAAAATTTAAATGACCCTCCAGTTTACACCCTTGACTGACTAATTCGTCGCCAACACATAATACTATCTTCCTTGTAACTTTTCCGAATGTTTCATTCAGATCAGTTGATCCGTTTTCGAAATATGTTGTCTATGACGTTTTCCTTTCAATGGTCCTCAGATCTACACCCTACTCCGGATCGTCACAAAAATTTTATAATTTCTTTACTCGAACTTGACAAACTGTTATACAAGGTTCAAATTATACCCATTATTTTTTTTAAAGAGATATTTAGGTCTGGGTCCTGAGAAATTGAAATAACCATCCAATTTACACCCTTGACTTATTCGTCGCCAGCACATAATAATTTCTTCCTTGTAACTTGGTTAAATGTTTTCCGAATGTTTCATTCAGATCGGTTCATCCGTTTTCGAAATATGTGGTCTGGGACGTTTTCCTTTAAATGGTCCTCAGATCCACACCATACTGCGGATCGTCACAAAAATTTGATCATTTTTTACAAGACCTTTATAAAGTATTATAGAATGTTTCATTAAGACCCATTGGTTTTTTAAAGAGATATTTAGATCTGGGTCCTCAAAAATTGAAAAGATCCTTAAATTTACACCATTCACTGAATCGTCACTAACACATAAACTTTCTTCCTTGTAACTTGATTAAACTTGATTAAGCTTTCCCGTACGTTTCATTCAGATCAACTGACCGGTTTTTGAAATATCCGGTGTAGACTGTTTGACCTTAAATCACTTTAATTGGTCTTCACACGCACACCCCACCATAGATTGACACTAAATATTAGGAGGCACATCCTTGATATATGGCCTATGCTTCAGCAAAGCACGGAAAAATTCTAAGAATGGGAAGTGACGGCCAGAAAAAACAGTGCAAAATGATTGGAAAAATATATGCAAGAAAAAAGAAAAAAAAATCAGAACAAAAACAATGACGTTTCCCAGTACTGCTGGGAAAAGCCAACAATAACAATAACAATAACAATAACATCAATAGTAACAGTAGCAGCAACAGCCACAACATATTAGATCATATGATTTATGTGGAGAATTTCAATAAACAAATTTACAAACATTATCTCTATTCCTAAAGCACTAAAGAATCACAACAATACCTAATTTAATCAGCAAATTGGAGATTTAGATGGTGTGGTGTGCTCTCACATTATATTATGATAATAAAATACCATACACTCTAAAAGCAGGCTAAGCGAAGTAATATCAATATAATTATCGTTGTTCAATTTTTTTTTCAAAACATCGTAAATTCATCATGATTTTCATTAAACAATAGGATTTAACTTAGCACCGAGGGGAAAAAAATACATTAATAACAAGTGGCTTATAAAGCGAAGAAAATTAATTTAAAAACCCTGAACGTGACTCTGTATATAAGAACAAATCAAGCCAATATTTAGCATTGGATCCAGATGAATTTTTTCGATGATCTGTATACTGAGTTTATTAAATTGTACTGAATTGTGAACATTTTCGTATCAAAATGATTATATTGTTCAATATCGATTTAGTTTCAATACAATGTTTGTTTAAAATCATAGATTAAAATGAGCCAACAACTTTTTTTTTTGCTGATTACTTGTTGACTATGAGTGCTTTAATAATAACGAAGGAACATTTAACTCTTACAATAAAGCCCCAACCCCAAAAATTTAGCAAGTGGACGGCCGAATTCATTATCAGTAGGAGTGTAGACCAAACTTACAGAAGCCAAATTTCCAGTGACAACGGCAAATCGGGATTTCAGAACACTGCTTTTTAAAGAATTAAACATTAAACAAGTGAGGGGTATATTACAATTGCGCTAAAAAAAAACTAAAAAAAAAAAAACTAGGGGATCAATTTACTTTACATTTTCAGACATTGACGGTGGTACATATATTTCGCTCCCCCTCAAATTTGGTCAGCAGTTAGATGCAGATTTAGAAAGTTTCTATTTTTTTCTGCCACATATCTCACAATTTGCTGTCCCAAATTTACTTTAAATTATGTCTACAAATGACATGTGAATAATATTTTATTATTCACATGTCAAATATGTAAAACATATTATTCAATAAATGCAAAAATAATAAAAAGTATACTAGCAAAAGTGAAGAGAGAGATTCGAACCGCACACAGTCAGGTGTCTTGTCTACACTGTCCTTGGGATTAGAGATTAAATTAGATTATTGTTATTAAACCAATTAGTTTCGTATCAGCAGTCAATGATAAGAAAGTGGGTATATTTCCTTGGCAGCTGTACCCGTCATGGTACACGTACATTTATCGATCGAGTTTCTAATACGGTATAAATTTCTTAATTAAAAGTTAGCGGCCTGCTTAATATTTGACACATGTTTGTTCATTTTTAAGTGTTCATCCAAAAAACACCGATATTCTTAACAATAGTTAGAAGTACTACCGCTTCGGCATCTCAAGCTTTATTTAAATGGGGCGCTAAAAAACAGAGTGGAAATTAAAGGGGCGCTTATGGAAATAGATGAAAATCAAGGGGTTCTTATGGGAAATTCAAGAAGCACTTTTTGAATGAACACAGGTTATATAAGGACATTACGAATGGTGGTGCGGCGGAAAACATAAATGTCCAGAGAACATGGCCCATGACAAGAATGCTATCTGTGAATATTTACATAACAGCAGAATAGCAGATGCAATTAGTGGTGGTGGGTAGTGGTTACCTTGTTGGCCATCGGCCGATTAAGATTAGCAGGACGGCATGATTATTGCAGGTTTTCTTGAATTGAGATGAGAATGTGCTAAAGGTTGTCGGAAAAAGAAAAAGAGGAGTTGGACTAGGCCTAGACAAATATGTAAGAAGATGAAAGTTGGAAATATACTGTCTATCCAGGAATCGGAGCTCTCATTTGTCCAAGAGAAATATCCTCATTTTGATATTGAATGTGATTCCACTCTGCAGCTCAAATCATGCCAACAACCACAGTCCAAGGATTGATTGGATAATTGACTTGCTAAATAGAAAATCTTGTGATATTATAGGGCGCCTCTTAAACAGGGGCGCTTATTTGCGC